AACTCAATAAACATGCAGTCAATGCACAACTGACATTAGCAACATCAGCATCATACTGCTATCTTACCAGGATAGACGGGGAAGGAGAACGGGAGGTTCAGACTTCTTGCTTCTTCTTTTGGTTTCCAGGGTTGATTAGTAAGCTAATAGACACGTTAGCTTTTACTAATTATGTCAACTTTGTAACGCTACTCATCGAATCTCTTTGCTCTGGTCGCAGGACAATATGTCCCCACATGACGTTACACCATGGTTACGCTTGACAACCATGTGGTATGTCAATCAAGTGAGTGGTTGATCCCCTTTACTTGTACAAATTAGGACAGTCACATTAAATTAATACACATTTTAACCCTTTATTCTCACTAAGGTTTACCAATTAGCATGAAACAGAAAGTAAAGCTGAGGATGGGAATGTCTTGAGTTTTGCGGATACTTGGTCATAAAGTAGGCCTTCTGGATGATTAGACATTTTGACCTGATGATTGCGATATGGAAAGTCAGGGGAACACAAAAGTTATTATAATCCATCCCTAGGGGAACATGAATGTCTGTACAAAATTTGATGGCACTCCGTCCAATAACTCAGTGTGGGTCGCCATGCCGCTAGCATGGCTAAAAATAACACAAGCAAGGCTCCAGGAAACTTAGGAGTCTAACACCATATTGAATAAGGACAAAGAACTGTGTGAGGTTGAAAAATATCAATACTGATTTCCAAAGAATTTGCTTGAGCACAAAGGTATCATATAGTCACTTTTATCTGAATGAACCCGGAGGCTATAGTTGAAATAACTTCACATAAATACATGTGCAAGTGCAAGGATACAAACATGTGCATGTCCAAACAGTTTGCCTGAGGAAAAGACACATGTTCCACAGACCACAGCACAGATGTTCTGGAGGCAGAGATGGGCCTCTTTACAGCAAAACACTGAGCTGTTCAAAGAGGCCCTGCTGACCCCGGGACAGAGCGACTCAATTAGCTTCCCATAATGAGGCCACACTGTGGGGGGTGTTTGTATAAGCTTATTAAAACATAATCCTGCGATTCCCGCCATACTGTAGCAAGTCAGGTGACCATAGAGTTAGCTAACAGCAGGTTGGTGGCTTTAGACCAAAGAAGAAATGAAAAAAGAGCTTAGACAAAAATGTTTTTATCCATAAACCAACTCCAACCAAATTTAATTTCTGTCTCCAGTAATCTCTTTTCACTTAACAGCTGATTTCTATTTATATTGACTTTATATTAATTTGCTTGACCTATATTTTTTGCTGTGCCTTTTACTGAGCGTTAATTTGGTAGTACAGAAGTTGTGCATTTCCCACAAGTGGTGCAGTACAATGCAGGGGGCTGGTACTCGATCCAAGTTAGGGTCAGGTTTCAGTTCTGGTGGCTCAAAGGCAATGGCATGGCAAGGAATGAATGGGCAGTTATGAACTGAGAGGGTGATGAGGGACTGAGATGCAGGTGAGCAGGTGGGCAGGGAAGGCCAGGCAACTGCAGAGTAGATGAGAGAAGTTGGAACAGGTGTGTAGATAGGTGGAACAGTCAGGTGATTGGGGGAGGGGGGGATCTGAGAGCATCTGGTGGATGGATGGAAGGAAAATGGCAATGAAGGGGCCTGGGGAAGAGGGATGTGGCTGGAGACCACATGCTTCCCCATCCACCCCTCTGGACGGGTTATTGTCTGACTCTGATTTCCATGTGTTTCAAAATCTACATATGCATTCTACTTAGGTATTTAGGAGTACTGCAGAGGATAGGGGAGGTTTTTGTGATTGCTAAAATACTACTACTATAAGTAATTCAATCAAAAATGTAAATGTAAGTTTGATAGACCACATTTCATATTTAATATTCACATTTTCAAGGTAATCATGAATTGCCTTAAACTGTCAACTGCTGCAACAAACACCTTTTATTTTCCACCTAAAGATGTTTTGCACTGGTGTGGGGGTTTCTTGGCTGAAAAAAACATTACAAAGAGGGTACATTATTAAAAAAAGGTTTGAGAAGTCTCATTAAACCTGTGTGTCATAATCACAAAGAGACCCAGAACTCAACTCTTATAGAATTATGAGAACATGAGAACAGGTCACTGTAGTAGCTTCTTACAGGAGGGAGACCGGGGTCTTAAACATACTTTGAAAGAAGATTTCTGTCAAGAATAATGAACTGTACTCAATCGTTGGTTAAATCTATGTGAGTGTCTTTTAATCAGGGCCCCAGACATATTGCATCGCTTTACAAGAGCTTGGGCAACAGTTAATCCTGCAGACAATGTACAAAGTGGACCACAGTCTACTGGTTGGATCCCTTCCCACCCCACAGAGCTGATCGACATCGTTAATGTCCCTCAGTAATCCCGCCACATGGGCTGAGCTCCAGTCGTTATGCTGGCAATTATCGTGGGGGGTGCCAGAGAAATCCTTCACCAACTTTAAGACATCAAAACTGATTTAAGAGCTGCTCTTTCATGTGGAGTCAGAGTTCACGTGTTACCTAAATGATTCTCAGAAGTTACGTAAGGAATTGGGTTTACATGACTGAAAAGTTCAACGACCATCTGATTTTTTAGAGCTGACTGGGCCACCCATTTCACACCGTCATCTCACCCAACATTTTTTTAAAGGGACTTTCATCCAGGGCCAAAGCTGCTAGTAACACTCCAGTAATAATTCCAGAAATTTGGAGGATTCAATTGTATGAAGATGAGTTTACATTTTACAATTACGCACATAACACATGCAGGTTGTATATGTCATATTCTTTAGACGTTATCTTCAAAGAATAGTTCAACATTTCAATTAATATGCTTACCCGCTTTCTTGCCACGGTAGAGCAGAAGATTGATTCCATTCTGTCATATTGAATTTCAATATGAAATTGAGCCAGCAGCCTGTTCGTAATCTTCCTAAAAGTGCCTCTAAAGCTCATGGATTAACATGTTATATCTTACATTAAAAAATACAAGTGTAACAAGCTAGTCATTTCTTCCATTCTTTGTGATAAGCTAAGCTAACTGGCTGCTGGTTCATGTTGAATTGGATATGATGGTGGCATCAATCTTTGCATTTTATGCTTATGCAGCGACTAAGCGTATTTCCCAAAATGTTGAACAATTCATTTAGGAGTTGACCTGATTTTGGTCAAAAACATTAGTATTCCCCACCGCTAGGCAGTGTGCTTTGAATTTGTTTTTAGAGAAACTGAGCAGCTCTACGGGACTGAACCCACAGTGGATGCCATCAGACTGAGCCACAAAGTTTTGTAGTTTTTGTGTACCTATGACCATGAAATTTATATTTTGTAATTTCCATAGTCTTGTTGGCTCATTAACTTGTTTTACGTTTACATGTTTCGCATAAAATCGGGCTCTCTGAGTTTTGTCTATGTTAGCAGAGAGACACTCGCACATGGACACAGTCTCTCACCGTGAAATTCAACAGATGTAGACTTATAGACTTCACCAATGGTGTGTGTTTCTGTCTGTTAGTTTCATGATTGACAGCTCAATATTCCCACCAAAGGCAATAACTTTCAGACAGGTAGCTATTATAGTCAAACACACAAGCCACAATGCTAAATCACAGGACGTTTCTCAAGATGGTTGCCATAGGACACAACAGTGGGGTTTCCAGCTAAAATATTGGTGGAAAGCGGAGCCATGCTAACTATCATAATTAGACCACTTGGCACCACTTCTAGCTCAGTTTTACCCACTCTGAGGCTGGACAACATACTCATCTGCAGTCTGCCAGACGACACAAACTCTCTTTTAGCTGCCTACCCTATCATTAGCGCTCCCAAACAAGTACAAGCTACCTAGCTAACTGTCATTCTCTGCCCATTGTTGTGCACTGTGGTGTAGACACATAGCTATGAATAGGAGGAAAAGCCTATTTCAGGCAATTATAATCATCTGATCCTGCATAGTTAGAAGTCTTGGTGCCGACAAAACCTCTGCGGCTAAATCTTTGAAGTCACAACTCTTTCACAACATTGTAAAAATATAGCTTTCAGTTCATTTTAGAGACTGGCTGTGGCTGACATTGTTTACTTATTCGCTACACACTATACAGGAAATTATGGGACGAAATTAAAAAACTACTCATGTGATTACACATTCAGCAGTTGTCCACTGTGTATCTAACTTTCTGTCTTAGCTCATGGTTAGTGGCCATCAAATGTAGGTCATTTTTTACATCGCATTATGGGATAATATGAGCCTACTATGTAGGGTAAAATGATTCCTAATAGAGATTAAGACAACAGAAATAGCGAGCATGCTATATAGTGGAATATTGTAACAAGGACTACATTGGAAATAAGTGTTGGCTATCCTTATTATAATTGTAGATGTGTAAGAATTCATGTCCTCATTCTCATGTGAAAACAACTAAACTTAATAATAAATTCATTTGGACGTCACCCTCATACTAATAGGCCGTTTTCACGGCAGACATTTTTACGTGTCATAGAAAGGTTAACACAGGTGTTATTGATAAAATGTATTATGGTCCCGTTCTGTTTAGTGTGTCACAGTGAGCCAGCACGCACAATACCAAGGCCCTGGTAATTAATGTAATTAAATACACCTGTGTTTACCTTGCAATAACATGTCAAAATGGTGTGAAAAGGGCCTATAATGCATTTTTATTCATAATGTGTGTTTCCACTTAAGACTTGTAAAAGTTTTGTGCACTTTTGGCATGAGCCAACTAACCTACATTTTGGTTGGAAACATCAGTATTTCGACCATGGTCCCCCTTTCTTTTTGGCAATTTTCTGTATTACAAATGTCCCGCTGAAGCGCATACAAAACATATACAACACACTTCTCATACTAATAACTATACTAATACTAATAACCTTCGGCCTCAGAAAGCAAGCGTGTTACTTGCTTTCTGCTCCACTCTTATCATCACATGATTCTCTCTTCATTGTGACAGTCGAGATAACATATCTCCATGGAAGATTCAAGAGTGAAGACAGGTTAAATATTTCACATTTTATTTTGTTCCGCTCATTCAGCTCAACAAACTGCTTTCCAGTCAAAAATCAGACATTAAGTGAAACACTCATTCTGTAAGTACCATTTAGAGTTGGACAGCACAGACAATGACTGAGTCACTTATATATGTACATGCAGATTTATCCCGATGACATTACAAACATCATAAATGATTACTATGTAACATACATAATGACATACAATATTTCATACATCTGCTCTGTATTGCTGCTGATCAGTTATTGGCCCAGAAGAAACAGAGAAATAGACAGAGCTGAATGACAGGCTTCTGAAAAATAAGAAGCAAACATAGAATCAGTCTCTTTGGTGATTTCACCTCATTTACTGTATAATTTCAAAAGAGGAATGTGCTCCAATTTACTGACTGAGGAAGATGGATAATTATCTGTTTAAAGCCATGACTGCAATGACAAAGAAAGACCCTATGGTCATCCGAACCGGTGGGTGGTGCAGGGGACATGCAGATCAGACACATCTGTTTCAGTGACACGGAGTAAACCTACATCTCAAGCACAGTTACCTGCTCTACATCTAATCCACACCACTGCTCCAAAGGCCATTGCATGGCGAGACTTCAGTGGTGTGTTTGGACTGCGTGTGATAAGTGCAATGTACCGAGGCACCACCCAACTTATTGCTGCGACCTTGTAACAGTAAAGTTCTGAAACTAAAAAGCTGTTTCTTCAACAGTTTGGGTAAAGCTGAATAGCAGGCATGTGTTATCCAGGATTATTAGGCATCAGTCGGTCTCCTCTGTTAATGTTTGGTGGCATCGATCTACTGTAGAAGGTGTGTATTGGTGAGGAGCTTACAGACCTCTAACTGTGTCGTCGACTAACAGTGTGACAGCTGTAGCAACACTTCAACATGTGGCACGGACATGAGCTGGTGTAGAGAAATCCCTACACAAGACTCCAACACGCCACAATAAATCAGATTTTAAAAGAATTTATACTCATTTACATTTGATTGTAATCCAAAAGATAAGGAGTTAAAATAAATGCAATTAGTTACAGGTCACTAGAGTTGCTTCTGATTTAGGAAACAGTAGTATTATTGCATCTTTGATTGGGAATTCAAGCTAGTTTACATTAACTTCAAGTTCTGATTTTAGTGAAATAAATGTATAAGAAGTGTTGGGGAATTACAGTGTAGAACACAGAAAATAATATACTTTGATGGGCATCATATCAGACACATAGGAGGAGTACACCTTTAGTACATAAGATCACCATCTGGACACCTCTCCTTCCAAGTCAGCTTATGTTTCCAGTGTCCAGTATGATATGTGCCATTAAACTTTATTAACTCCATTTTATGGTTGAATGCAGGTCACAGTCATATTTGACAGTTCAGACTGGCTCTGAGGAGCAAGACAATGCTTAATTTAGCCGCATGCTCTCTGACTTTTAGGCATCAACAAAGAGGATTTCTGCAAAAACTCTCCAGCTCCGGTAGGCACACTTTGCTTCTGTTGAGCTACTGCTCCACTGATTAAAGGTATTCTGGCTACCACACCTGGGGTTGTCCAGGTGAACAAAAAAGTAGTCCTTACATCCAGTCCCCACCAACAGGTGAGCAGTTCCAGTTTCATCATCAGTCACAGGGTTTCCTCACTCCCTACTGGACACACACATACTTCTTCCACCAGGACTTGGAGAGCATCTTCATCTTATCGGCTGTGCTGCGGACCTTCCTCTCCCGCCTCGCTCTCCTGTCGAACTGCCTCAGACCGACAGCGATGGCCGCATCAAACACCTCCTTTAGATTCTTTTGTGTCAGCGCTGAGCACTCAACGTACGTCACCGCCCCAATTTTTTCCGACAGCGCCCTGGCGTCTTCCTCCAGCACCGGCGCCTCCCTCCGCCTCGCCAGCTCGATCAGCACTTTGACGTCCTGCCGCAGGTCGCACTGTGTGCCTACGAGGAGGATGGGCGTGAGGGGGCAGCGGCGGCGGATTTCGGGGACCCACTTCTCCCAGACGTTTTGAAAGGATGCCGGGCTGACCACGCTGAAGCAGAGCAGCAAGGCGTCTGTCCGGCTGTAGCAGAAGTGGCGGAGTTTGTCAAACTCATCCTAATGGAGACAGAAACAGATGGTTGGCAATGTGGTGTTATTCCGTGATTTATAAATAACAGGCACGTTCACCTTAACATTTAGCTCTAAGTCTTTACTTTGTGATGACTCATCTCCCTTCAGTTGTCACCCAGGCTGACCACACACCAATGCACTTTCAGTAACCGGTCAACACACTCAAGTACTACAACATAACAGGAAAGGGAATTGTGGCAATAATCAAAGCTTAACAACTACAGTGGACACTTATCAACTTGTGCGATTCCCCACATGAGCTTTGGCTGTGCTTCGTGGATCTGATGAAGTAGGTCCATCTGCAGAACATACAGACATCAACATCTCTGAGCAAAGAGCAACTTTGTTTATCAGCTTTGGCGGCAGCTGTTATCATTTTTCTCTGGACTGTTTCTGTCTTTCTGTCTGGGCTCTCTCTCTCTCTCTCTCTATCTCTGTCTGTCCTCTCTTTCTTTTTTGGCACACCCCAACCTGTTTCTGGCTCAAGCTCCCCTCTTATGAAATTGCATTGCATAAGTACAGTAGGTATTTGCCGGCTTTTCTCTGTGCCTATTTGCCCATGCCTGTCTGCTTGAGTGCGTCTGTCTGCATGCGTGTGTGCGGTTTTAACACCGTGTGCAGCTTACAACATGCTGTGAGGTTGTATTAGGGGTTTGTTCAAATACCTTGTTCCCCTTTACAGCCAAGTTGTCTTTGATTGTGTGTAGAACTGGCAGTGCCCTCTCAGCATTTGCGATTGTCAAATATGCTGCTCCAAGGGCAGGGTTCTTTTGAGTTGGATTATGAAACATCCACCCATGCTCCAGGGAAACACTCTTTCACAACCTGTTCTTTCCAAGATTACTCTTAAGTACCAACATAATAATGAGTCAATTACTTTGATCTGGCAAGCGCCCTGCACCACGGTGTCCTGAAATATATTTAAGGTATTTTTGGCATCATCACCTCCAATCTAACCTGCAGGCGTTTCCCTCTCCTTCACCACCCTGTCAATGCACCACCATGAGATACAGTTATTCTATGGAGCGTTGTTATTTTCATACGAGATGAAGATTGACAGCAGAGCTCAGGAATTCACTCCTTTTTAATACAGATTAGCTACCCAAAATAGACAAGAAGCCCATGTGCAGCAAGGTCAACCTGGATCGACCACAAAAACAGGAGATCTGCAACAAATCAAACTATTGGATTTATTTTTCAATATTTCTTCTTTTGCTAATTAGCACTAAATGATCCAAAGTATCTGACCTGATGATGCCACTTAATGTAAAGTTAAGTGATCACCAAAGTTATTACAATTGATCCTAACAGGTTCATTCAGCAGTTGAGATATTTCAGTCTGGACCAGAGTGGTGGTTGACCGACCAACTGACATAACCATCCACAGAGCCACGCCACTAGCATGGCTAAAATGTGACATCTGGGTGTAGCGAAGGGTGAGAGGCATGCAGGGCATTACGTAGGATCCCAAATATGTAATGCAATATGTGTTTGTGCGTGACCAAAACTCACCTGTCCTGCAGTGTCACACAACTGTAGTCTAACCGGGTTTCCATCCACTTGAACCACAGCTGTGGACACAGAAACAGATAATAAGTTACAGCTGTCAACATGACATTACGTCTGTGTAGGCTAATAAAGCCTCCACCTGACACTTAAGACACACACACACACACACACACACACACACACACACACACACACACACACACACTACCCAGCAGAATATTCTCTGGAATAAACAAAAGCCTGCCAGTTGAAAACACAAAGACCCCCTGCTCAGCTCTTCCCGCTCACAGACAGCCTGCTCCGTCTCGCCCACCCACTCTGCCAGTTACCGTTGAGACCATTGCACTTTACTGTCGCTCGGACCACTCTGCGAGCTTTGTTCTCTGTTGTGTTTTTACAGAGGCCATTCCAAGGTTGTCTGATGGATGGTTCGTTCGGTGACTCTCTTCCAATTGGCCTCATTTCCAGATTGGAAAAGTGGATGAGTCATCTTACAGTTTCTTTATGGGGCCATTTATTATTTTCAGAGGAGCGAGCACAATGCGGAGCAGCGGGCACATGGAAACATTTACAATACGCCTGGAGTGTGTGGTCGGTCATACCACCTGATCAAAGGGTTCGCTGGAACTATTCATGTAGTAGGACAGGCATCATACAAAAGCAGGGAGAAAGAGCGGGCGGAGAGAATGAAAGGAAAGTGAGAGGGAGCAGCCATTGTGTAATCATTTCCTAATCCTTGACATATGATACTCCTTTGATTTTCTGGATCAAAAATCCCTCTTATCGTCCCCACTCCCAGCCTCACGCTCCTCTGCATCTCTGCCACCTGTGGCATGGCGTAACTGCTCTTTTGTCAGCTTTCAAGAGGACGCTCTGATTCCAGGGCACCGAGAAATGACATCACCATTAAGGGCCCCAACAGCACAATCACCCTCTGTCAGGCCGAGGCGAAAGACAATCTCTGCCTCTGAGCCAATGCAACAGATGTGCCCGTTCCAGTATAGAGGAGAGGGCTCGCGGGTCAAGGCTGACAACAATAGGCAGAGTTGTGCAATCCCAAACCCCTGAACCAGAGACGCTCTCTGTTCTGTATGCGAGGGTAAAACCAGCGCTCGTCTGAAGGGTGGTGTGTGTTCTCAGCGGGTTTCTTATGGGATGTGTGTTGGCCAAGTTGTTAGTTTTACTGCACACCAGTGAAATGTCAGATAGCTAACTAAGATAAATGACAAAAAAATGTACAAGTCAGTTTACAGGACACAATGTCAAGTATCAATTTGTAACTTCTAAATAAGCATAAAATGTGTTTATGTGTGATTTTTCATTTGTCAATACGGTCACTTTATGCTTTTGTGTATGACAATAATATAGCTGATAGTCATAACAGAGTAAGGTTTTCAGAGTTTCTGAAGAAAAGCTAAGGAGGGACAGTCTGAAGACCTGATCATGAAGGTGATCAACAGGTCACAGGTGTGTTTTTTAATGCCGACACTGATCAGTTTGAAGCAAGTTTCCAGTTTGAAGTATTTTGTTCTGTCCTCTTATTTTGCAGTAAACGAAAGCTTGCTGGGACAAGTGAGAGAGTTTGAAAAGTGGAACCGTGCCAAATGGAAACCTGGCTACATCAGCGAGGATAACTCATGTGCATTAACATTGATGGAAGGAGGATAATAGGAAACACATCTATCATAACAATGGAATAATATGATAAATAACAGAATGGACGGGTGCTGTCAAAGCATGAAAAGTTGAAGATAAGTTCAGTAAAAGGGCAGGTGGAAACAAATTGACTAACTTTTAAAGTGGAACATTTTTTACCACAGTTTCATTCAACAAATCTGTATCTTAACTGGACGCTGGCTTCAATCTCAATACAGCCATTTTCACTAGACTTCAGTTATACAAGAGTCTGTGCTCATCTCTGATCCATGAAATGAGGGGTGATATCCCTTGTACATATACGAACGCTTAATGCATTAAGAAGATTATAAGGAAACTGAAATAGCAGTATTTTAGGCTTACCTGAGAAGTCATCAAATGCAGTTGGGACGTATTTGGTTGGGTAGCCATTCGTTGTGTAGCTGACCACGAGACTGGTTTTGCCCACTGCTCCGTCGCCGAGCAGGACGCACTTCAGCAGCCTCTCCTGCGGCTGCCCTGGCCGGGTTTGTGTGGGATTGTGCGGGGGTACCGGAGGGGCCATGGTCCGTCCGTAATCCATGGTGACTAGGGGTACCATTCAATCAGCTTGCACTTTACCGCGCTCTCCTCCACGGGAAGATGACGGACCCACCATGAGAACAGGATCCCCTCTCTACAACGAGTTTGCCAATTGCTTTTAATCGCGAGCGGGACTCGTGCGTAAAACGTCTCCTCCTGTCCTGCGCGCTGCCAAATCCACTGTGGGCGATCAGCATCAGGACTACAGGCTTGAACTCTGTAGTTTACAATGTGAGGGCGGGTCTAAAGCCTTATATCTTCAGATTGATTTGACTAATCCCACCCACTTCACCTCCCAACAGCGGAGGGCCGAACTGACAGTTTGAGGTTGAGAAGGGAAGTCTGGATAATAAAAAGAAGTGCAACATTTGAATGTTGCTGGTACTATCTTCTTAATGGCAATTCGAATAGAAAAATATACTGCATCAACTTGTTTGATTGTTTCATTTTAATCAGTTAGTACTTCACCGCACAACTAACTGTTAATTACTTTTTTTTGGCCAACTGAAGTTGCCATGAGATAATTGAGTTTGAAGCTGTGCGGGCAAGTCCAGACGTGTCCTCACCAGTGTAAAGACTGAGGACAATCTTGATGTCCATTCGGAACATGACACATGGTGTACTGAAATTTCAGACCACCTGACCTACTTTAATTTTTTAAGCGGAGCCTAGAAGGAAGAGCCAGTGGCCTCTAACTGTTATCTACTGGAGAATGCGCAGTAAAAGACCAAAACATAGCTCAATCAAGGAACATTTGTAAACGAAAAGGACAAACTCAAAGGTCACTGTCCGTCTGATTGAGTAACCTTTCAAACTGTCAGTAGCTGAAGTGATCCTGGTCCCTTGTCCTAAGCTGACGGACAGACTGGACACTTGGAAAAACCTGAATATGACTGAAGTAATGTCTTGACTTGTGTCGCCTCCTTGTGGTTGGTTTTGTGGTTGGTTGCAAGAGTTTAGCGAAACTGACATGCCTGAAACTCTCAGGGCAGGGTGAGCATAAAGGGGCCCAAAAGCAACAGGTTCACACTTTCCACATGTAAATGCACATCCCACATCATACCTTTACATCAGATTATCCCTCGCAGGTATGTTAACATGAATTAAACCTGGACAAGAAACAAACAGGGCACCAACAACATGGTCTTTTCCACTGGCTAGATAATATAAGGTCTTTATTTATGTTAATAGTGACAAACTAGTCTCCAACATATTGACCAGAGAAAAGTCTCTTTACGAAATACAAAATAATCAGTATACTATGATGCACATAATGGCTGATTCCATCTGATCGTAAATTCTTTCTTCCACACAGCAAAAAAAAAAAAGGAGTCATAACTTAGTGAGACAGTTGTACAAAAATGATCAGTTAGTTTCACTAGATTTTGTTTAATTATAGTAGTTTCAGAAGACAGGTCTCATATAATTAACCTATTTTGTATATGCCAGGCTGTGTGGATAGGTAAGGACATGAGGGCTTTTGTAATTTCACTGTTATCTCCATTGTCTTTGCTGAAGAAATGCAAGACAAAAAACTTAATTTGTATTAGTACAGACAACTGCTACAGGAGGCCAGTGTGTAAGCAAATAGGTCCACTACTAAGCAGGACATGATGTCATGATGTCTAGGCTGTTTGGATTTTATGGATCATGTATGTTAACTGGAGCACACAAATACATTATGCAATAATAAGGCATAAGAATAGATACATTTTGGTGACAACATTAAAAGCAACCACAAAAGAGAAATGCGGAGTTGCAGAGTATCCTGATTCATTTTATTATTCCTAAAATGCATCTACTCACAATTCTGTGTTACCTTGTCATGGTGCACATCACACAAGTATTGTACACCTACAAAACATCATTCTCAGGAAGGCAATGGAAGGTGATGAGAAGTGGTTTGTTTGGGAGGAGAAGTCTCTGTAAGCTGTTGTTAGCAGTTGTAAGTACTGTGGATCAGATCATGCACAATAACCTGCAGTTAGAAAGGCACCTGCTGTATATTTCACTCCCACATCCCTTCACAAGGCTGGACAGAATCACATTAAGAGCTCAGAGAGGATATCTGTCTGAAATCGGAGCGCTTTTTGTATCATCAATCCATTCCTCTCAAGTGCTTCCCTTCCATCTATAATATGTCTTAACTATTGAACGTGTAGCGGAATACTCTATCTCTATCCCTCTGAATATTCTGTTACAACTTCCCAGTGGTGTACGCAAGAAACATGAGGAAAACATGAGCAGGGGAAGAAAGAAAAAAAACTCAAATGAATGATCGTGTGAATGAAAGTGAATGCCTGTGCCGGTGAGAAGGAACACAGAAAGCTCAGGAAAATAAAGAAGAAATGTGACTTTAATTGCTTGTAATTAACATTTTCATTTCAGCAAGCTGCATATGTCAGGAATTACACGTACCCCCCCCACACACACACACACACACACACACACACACACACACACACTTGCATACACACAGAGAAACAGTCATGAGAATGAATATGCATTCAGAAAATGTGCATGTGCTGACACATGCATCTTTAATTGCCAGTTTTATGCTGCCATGAATAATGATGACCCCTGTTAATCACCTTAACAACTCACTTCCCTTTCCTCAGGTGAGTATAGCCGTGTGGGAACTTCCCATTCCTGGTCTTAGTTCCTCATTTGGACTACAGCTCTCAACCATCTAAGACACTCCTTGAGTCATTTGTACATATTAAAAAAAATTTAATATTTCCAAGGATGGTCACATACGACAAGTTGTGTCGTTTAATTTTTCCATTTCTGATGTCAGCAGCAAGAGTCTCATCCAGGAGTCATACACCTTGATTAACTTATAACCCAAACCCCAACCTCCAACCCCCATCACTTAGATACAGTGAGAGTATAAATGTGTGATCTTCATCATTGTCAGTTTAAGTAACCTCCCTTCCCTTCCCAAGTCTCTGGAGCTCTGAGCACAGACTGCTGGGTAAGACATCTGAGTGACAGCCTGCAACTCTGGGAGCTTTTCTTTAAGTTCTTGTCCATCAGTGTTTACTGGGTTTTTGGTTTGGCGCCACCAGGAGTTGGGTCAGGAGGAGGGCCACCACCCTGGGCAAGCCTTTGAAAGCTGTGGAAGATAAATAGAAGAGTAGTTAGGGCAACAAATGTAGGGACTGCCCCAATACCTTCATTGGTGCTCTGAACGTGCCACCGAGTAGTAGCAAATACCAAACAGTAACCCACACTTGTCTAAACTTTTTTACCCATGAACACTTAAAACTACCTTACAGCTCCATCCCCTGCTGTATATAATAAAAACATATGCACCTCTATTCTAGCACTTTAAGACAGAATAATAACAAATAGAAACATAACTTGTAATACACTATTCAAAATAGAAATTAACTATTGTATGAGCTTGAATAAAATCAGAACATGTATGATAACAGCCAAAGCAATTTACTAAATACAAATATGTGCTTGAACTGATTGATTAAAATTGCATGTCTACAGTTGCAATATAGGTATTAAAAATCCTCCTTTTAATGATGATGTTGAGAAAGATGTTGTGTGGGTATAGGGTCAGACCCTTAACATCTGTTGAGCACCAACTGCCTCAGTAGCAAAATAGCAGTATGAATTAGAACATTGTGCCAGAAGGTGGCGCCATACTCACGTGTCCTTAAGGTTGTCAATTTTGGCCTGGATTTTTGCAAAGAAGAGATTCACCTGCTCCTGTGAAATAACAGAAACACAGAAAAACACATGTTCATGGCTATGGAAACAAAGAACCCGTTAAAGTGACAGTATACAGAATTAATTAAGAGAGTTATTACCTGGCGCTGTCTGTAGAAAAGTGGCAGAGAAAAAAGTGCGATCACAACTGGAGAAGAAGGAAGAAAGAAAAGCAGAGAAGTTAACTTGGCAGCCATTGAGTGTGTTAATAGATTCCATATTTTGAGCAGTTTCTTACTGATGATGAACAGAGTAAGGCCATTGCACAGGTCTCCCAGGTACGTCACAAGGTACACCAGAACCAGCAACTAAGACCAAGAGAAAGAGAAGTTAGCTAGTTAGTTTAAATCCCGTCAACGCTGTGTGCATGTCTGCAGAAAGCAATAAATCATGCTGCAGTATGACACAATTCCCCCGAAAATTATCCACACTGACATCAATTTCTCCTTGATAAAAAAAGGAAAGAGCTCCAAGTACGAGACTCCCAATATGGGTCTCTGTGTTTCCCCTTATATCTCACAGTGTCACAGTACAGTGTATGGGATCCACGTTGGCCTGATATGGGACACCCCTGTCTCAGATGAAAAGAGAACCCTGCTTATCCCGGGCGTCTCGGTGTACCTCCTCCAGTGTGTCATGTCGCATACCAGCCAGGTCAGGGTTGAGGCTGGGAGGTCCTGTGATTTAGGGGGCTCAGTTAGCTCACACTGACTCACCATTTACTGCAAATGTGTTAAGTCTGTCTGGTCCCAAACTGCTGCTGTTAATTACTGAAATGCCAGAATTATATTAGGGATGATTTGAACTGATTGCTGGTATTTGGTGTGCAATAATATATAAGGAGACTTCAGCTGATGATGATACAAATACAATATCTAGCTTTTCATTCTGATACTACCAGGGAAGTTTACTCACTATACTGTAACAACGATATGCAGTAAATGCTGTATCAGTAGCACCTGTCCTGACTTGTCACATTTACTAATTTGTCAAATTTATTTCAATACATCACGGATTTATTATGTTTTTTTAGTTTTTGCAGGGTTTTTGGCCTTAGAAGAAGTTTTCCTGTAAGATATTTGCACTCACACCATCAACTAAAAAACTAGTTTTTATAATTATTAAAAAGGAGAATCACCTTTAAACACTACCATTTCATAGAACTGTTCAGAAAGTTATAGAAACCTTATCTAATACAGATCTGGCATTTAAATAGGTCACATTTTTAAAATGCGGCCAATGAATACCAATGAATGTACAGCACACTGGTTGGAAAATTTGACACTGGTGCTGACCTTTTTATGTCTATTGATACTAATATTGACATGATGACTGCTGTGAATTTACAGAACATTATTTTATACCTTCTATGAGGTTTTTTTTACAATGTGTTTACAGTAAATAAATAGGTAACTTTACTAACTTGCACATACATAGCCTACTATTATCTTTTCACTTAAAGGAAACATTCTTTATGTATAATGTATGAAAACATGTGCAATTTCCTTTAATACTCCTGGCATGTCCTTTTAATATAATATTACTTTGCAATAATGAAAATCAATATAAGAAAATAGCATGTGTGTAACAGCAACACATTAATTTCGCAGATGCTTTTGTCCAATTTGGGGTTGAGCTTGTCGACGTCAACATGTGGACATAAGGGAACAAAGATGGAACAAGCAATACGACGATCAATAGCCGCCACACTGACCTACAGTCATTCAAGCATTGTTTAAAAACATGCAACATGTACATCCCATTGATACAAAGCAAAGAAGCGTAGAATGTGAAAAGACTGTGGCAACATACTTCAGGGGATGTCACGTGATACTGACAGGTATAGCCTGAGGCTGGATAAAAAGCATCGATGAGAAAGATCAGGCAGACTGTCTCCTTTTATGCTGTTAGTACCAATTCAAATACATTTTTAAGTTTGTATTACAAAGGGACCGCTTGCTTTCCACATGATCACCAAAAATATGTCATTAGGGCTGACAGTTTACGTCAGCCCTAATTTAGGAGTCATCCACTCTAAGCTAGCATAATGAGACGGACGGTTGGCATGGCAATGATGTCATCTCCAGTGATGGAGGGCGCTGGATGGACGAAGGGAGGAAGATGACAGATGGAGGAAAATGAGAGTATGCAGAGAGGGAACTAATGTCTGGGTTAATGAGGGGGGGGGGTTCTAGACGGGATGAAGCAAATCTTGGTATGCTATGATCAACCTAATTTGTTAGCTAAACTCACCTTGATGGACTCCAAGAGGTTTTTAACAAAAAAGAGTCCCTTCAGAGAGTCGACAGCAGACAGGACCATGACGATGGCTTTCTGCATATAGAGGTCAGCCTCCTCTCCACTGAAACTGATGTCCAGGTCCAAGTATGACCTGAGAGAAAACGAGACAACAGAAAGAGGAAATTAAAAAGATGGAAGTATTGACGATAAACATAAACGTCATCCTTCCTGTACTGTTCCTTCTTGTGATTCATATTTTTGGCTGCAATCCAAATATACTGTATATCCCCTCATATCGTTACTGTCAGGCTCCAGAAGTCAAAAGGCCCAGGTTTTTAATTTGCTAGGTCACCACTAGGCTTTTGTATTCAATTTATTCTATGCTGCTGTCATTTCATACACAGTAAAGGGTTATCACTCAGTATTTAATTTGTCTATTTGTTATAGAAAACGACACAAAACTGCATTTAAACACATATTTGCATTCAAGCACACATACACTGACCCAGCATATTGCTTTTTACTACAAGCCTTATTTGTTTTTACAATGATTTAACAGACTGAACCTCAACATAAGCTTGCTAACAGAAACCCCACCAATTAATAACCATAATTAGAGCCACTAAATATGAATTCATTGGACGTAAGCACAGTAAACAATATGTGAATTTTAAAGTGCTAAGTCGAAGACAGAAAACAGAAATGAGAGGAGTGGAAAAGCTTGTGGTCAAATTAACTCAGATGCTTGTTTTGGAAACATTCATGCACTCTGACTGAATGGGGTTAATCCGCCCGAGTGGGACATTTTAGAATAGCTGGAGAAATTTCCACTGTCCTTAAAGAAAAAAGAAAAGCACAGCATCTCACTTGAAGGGATGTTCTCCATTGCCCCAGTTGAGGATGTAGAGGACTTGATAGTAGATGCGCACTGAGATGGTGAAGCAAACGACAGCCAGGGAGACTGTGGAAATCACCGTGATGATGCTGAGCTGGAACAGGGACAGCAGGCCGACCACTAACCCTGTTAGGATCATGCCTGTTCGCTCCATGTCCTTCCAGTAGATCAGGTCCATCACTGAAAGACGAGGTGAGTGGAGGGAGGAAAAGGAAGAGAAAAGAAAGGTTATGACAGGAAGGTGAGAAAATAGAAAGAGTGTGATGCAAGCAAAACAGTTATAGAGCAGAAAAAACAGGGAGAAATGTAAAGGTGGCTGACAGAATTGGAGATTCTCGAGAATTATCGTCATGCTGTTGGTACTTTATCATTCACCAAACCTGATTTACTGCACCCTTCCTGGTTTAACAGAGGAGCTGCAGCAACATCACCCAGCCTCCAGCCCTAAGGCCCACCAAGAGGTCTTTTATCTTTTGGGGGGGAGGAAGAGTAGTTCTGACACAAGGATAGGAAGGGGAAGAGAGGCCAGAGAAGTGGAAGTGGGGGGGGGGGGGGGGGGTGAGAGGCAGAGAGGGATTTCCAGCCTCAAGCATGAGAGAACACTCTGAGCAGCTACGATGACATGTCAGACTCATGGCTCGAGCTAAATTTAGCCTTCAGATGAAAGAGGGAAGTAAGCGGTTGTGTTTAAATGCAGCATGTCACAGCACCTGCTGATGGACGTCAGACCATCAGCAGCGCTTTTCTTTCTTTACACGCCCTGTTGGTGTCCCTCTGTCACCCGGCAACAGCTGCCTTGGTGACCGAGGCGTCCATAGAGTCATGCTTCACAAGATTCGATATATAAAGTGGAATACGTGGTTTCACCATTTTTCTCTTTATATATAACCTCATGACCCTTTATGAATTATGCATTACCACAAAGGGTTTTTTCAGTGTAATTACAGAGTATGTTGTATGGTGCAGCACCGTCGGACTGGCATTGCTCGTTGTGTTTATCATTCAGTGAAATGCTGAGCCTCAGCATTAGAATAAAGGGAAGCCTCTTTGAATAGAGTGCACCGGCAGCAGGTGGGATATTTATAAGCATCACTGCACACAATTAATACCCATGAGGCCCCTGGCACACACCTGTCCAACGTGATTGTTTGTGCCGCTGTCATTCTGGGACATGGTTTCTCAGCGCATGATGTTCATGAGAACAGTAGAAAGAAACCAACAATGGAGTACTGAGAGCATCTAATCTATGGACAGTATCGACGCAAATAAAGTAGGGCACATGGAAGACACTGCTGTATTTAAAAACATGGGCTCCCATGTGGAGAGTTAGATGATAGAATCTCTGCCACTCTCATAATTGTTTGTTAAATATACAGGTACAGAGAGCAGTTAGCTTAGCATAGCATGAAGACTAGAAACAGGGGGAAACAGTTAGTTAGTTATTGGTACGGATACCGATACAAGATATTGGTCCAATACTGACTCAAATAGCTGGATTGGGTATCAGTGACAATACGTCGATCTTTTATCTGACACCATTATTCTTAAAAACAACAATTTAGTACATCTATATCTATGTATTTTTACACTTTGTTCTACAAAGTTAGGAGAGAAATATTTAAGTCAAGCATGATGTTGCCTTACACATAAAAGAATGATCCAAGTCTCTTCCACACAGTGAGGCATACAGCTCATCAACACTGGTATCGGATCAATACTCGGTATTGGCTGATAGCCACTTCTGTATTGGTACCCTTAAACGGGACTTCGGACTTCCCGTTTCTTTTTATTGGCATTTATAACTTACCTCAAATAAATCTAATTCAAGAGCACTTAAATGTACAGTTCGTATCAGCAGATGTAAAAATACAGCAAATAACTTCACTTCAGCGAGAAGTAATAACCTCCAATAAGTTAGGACATTCTCCGTACCACAATAACACAATCCAAACCAGCAGAAATTATCTTAGTGTGCTAATCGTTCGCTAAGTTGCTTATTATATAAATGAGCATTTTGGGAGTGACTGCATGGTGGAATTAATAATTCAACCAAATAATCAATCAATCAATCAACAAGCCAATCAATCATGAAGAACACAAATCACAAGGCCCATGTATACTTTATCTCATCTCATTTTAACATCAACATCTATTTCCTTTGACCCAGTTCATGTCAGCTAAATCACATGCGTCCAGGAAATCTCGTAGTACTGCAGTGTGAAAAGCCTCTTCTTGTACCAGCTCCTCAGCTCTTCAAAGGAAACACTAAAATGTAAGAGAACCCAGCTGGCAAAGTTTACTTTCTGCCAAAAGCATACCACAACAGGCCAGTTTACACTCCTTTGAATTACTGTTGCTAATATAAATGTGGGCTACTGATACGGAGACCACCCTACGTCTGGACAGCTCATCAGTTCAAAGCCAAACACACCTCTAGCTGATGGATGCTGCTGTCTCCAGAGACTCTGCTTGTAAAATGATCAGAGAGAAATGCAAAGTACGCTCTGTTCCCACCTTCAGTCCCCTGATGGTCCGGCCTTCTCACCACAACACCAAAAGTCACAAAGCCAAACAGTCCACTTCTAAAGCCTAGAAGTGGTTATTCCACCCCTCCTTCACACTTGAATCTATAGCTATCCTCTGCCTTCTCTCTGAAATCAAACACGGCTCTTTGCAATAGCTGACTGTCAGCTCAACACTGTAAGCAAATACACAGGCATCTTAAAGTTTCCTCTTTTCACTTCTCACCTTTACTGGCCATTTTGGTTGCCGCTCGAATGTTTCCTCTCACACCCTCTGTCCTTCTCTCTGTTCGGCTATTCTTCCCTCGCTCCTCTGAGCTGTTTTTGGCCACCCCCTGCTCGCTCAGCAGTCCAAAGGCCTGACAGCCCAAAATAATCTTGTTCGCAGCACCGCCCACCTCTCATCAAGACTCCAAGAGCTTCACACATAAAGAGATGATTCACGACAATCAAACAATACTTTTATAAGTATTATAAGTATAAATAACTAGGTCTTCTTCCTTTATGCAAACATTCTTTCTGAAGCATACCGAATTCAAAGTGTTCCTTCTAACTAAAGGTTTGTAGAGTTGTGCTTATATCCATGTGCCATCTAACACCTGAAACTGGAGAACCCGGGTTTATTTTCTGTTATGTCACCAAGCCAAACCTTTCAGTGTCACCACTACAGACAATAAATTGATGAGGAGTTTACTTTTCCTAGTTAAGAACTGTAAATGCTGTTGAAAATAAAGCTGTTTTTAATTGTAAAAATGTATCTGTTTACCTAGACATTAAGACATTAGTATTTGGTTAACGACTGATTGAATTCCTTGCATAGTCCAAAAAGTAGGGTTTGCTATTATTTAAAATGTTTGCCAATATGAAACCAAAGGCTTATACCTTACATTTTGTTCTACAAATCATATTTTTTGCATTTAATAAAAGAAGCTTTTCAAATGTTGAATGTTAAAACGCAATCAGCGGTGCAAGAACTTCACCTACATAAGATGCTTTCTAAAGTTGCCCAGCTTTTGATATTACCGGGTGCTATAACATATTTCAGTTGCCAAAAAACATTTAGGTTTGATATGCAGCCCCGAAAACAAGTAATAAAACCAGAATAGATATGATGTTCCAATAGATGCATCATGTATGCTATTTATTCAGGAAACCCTAAACTCTGTCATCAGCTAGCAGCACATACATCCATCAACGGCCTGAGGATTTACTGAACCCCCACATCCACCAAAATAAGACTGAGCTCGACTCTGACTGACCGTCCACTTAAAATACCATCAAGCTGGAAGACAGGATGTTATCTCTTGTTCCCTCTTTCTCCCTTTCAGTGTCTCAGAAATTCCTGAAGTGCCAACAAACTCCCACAAACCTGCATATAAAGAAACTGCACACACATACACCTGTCTCTCTTTCTGTGTGTCAAACACAGTGATACATTCTGACATCAGCGTGTGCGAGTCCAAAATGTAAGCCAATGCCAAGAATGTTTCCCCACAATTAGCCAATCGTTCCTGAAATCCCAGGAGAGGGTTACTATGGTGACTCAATGAACACGCAGGACTTCCGGGAAGAGGGGGTGTTTATCTTTGTCTGCCTGCTCTCTCGATGGTCCACGCTGAAGGTGAAATAGGATATTTTCCTTATTTAAAGTATTGATGAACGAGCTGGATCTCGCTCAGCAACAAGACAAAGGCAGAGAGACGGCGGTGAGAACATTTAAAGATACAGATGTGAATCTTGTACCTGCTATGTGAGTGCATACTGTCGGGTCCTTTGATAGGTTAAGTGCTGAAAACCATTGATCGCTGACCAGCTGTTCCTGAGAGTTTTGACCAATGGCAGCTGGCGGCGAGGACGTCGGGCCTCTGGGTCGCACAGATGTGAGCAGCTTGACTGAAATGGTTTCCCTGGTGGAGGGAGACTCTGGCTCGGGGGTCGGAGAGGCGGCTGCTGCCGGGAAACAAAAGATGATGTCACTATCGTGATGACATCAGCGCTGACCTGCTGTACATGAGCTAAAGCTGCTGACTAAATGACATTCTAAAAACACAGTATTTGAACTGCAACATTTGTGTTAAATGTGGGAAATGTTGGAAAATTGAATCAGTAATAAGTTATTATTGACGATCTAAAATTTCGGCTGCACGAGTCTTAGAATTTCAGGCTGCTTTATCATTTTTCACCATTTTATTGAACTAGATATGGCTGTAGATTAATTTAAAATATGCATGCTTTGGCACATTTTCATGGTCTGTTTTGCCTGGTGTGACCCACGCTACTTACGAATTGAAAAAATACTGATGACATGAGACCTAAATATTAACAGCATTTGACACACGAAAGATCATAAAATGCATCTACGTCCTTTTCCAAACAGACGCCACCATTTACCATGTAGTCATGTGTCGTGATGCCACATCACATCAAGTCCACCTTAAGAAAGGACATTTACAATCATCACAAGTCAAACTATATTATGATTTAACATTAGGGTGAATTAGGAGGAACAAGAGACCATCTAGCAATGGGAGGGCACCAGCTGCGACGCCAAATTGGCCCAGGACCGTAAAGTGGGGGTGCCAATGTTTCCTTCCCCACTTCCTAACCCCTACTTCCAGTGCTCTTGCTTGGACCTTCACAACTAAGCCTTCATTTTGATCCCAACTACACATCTGTAAAGTCTCATGATTGCATCTTGCACAGTTGTGACACTATCTCATTGACAAAGTCTGACTGGCACAAATATACTATAAACAACTGGCAAAATCCACCTCAATGCAGGTGTTTCCAGGACCACATTTGGCCATGATGACCACACGAAGACTCACAAGTTGACAACTGTACCCGCCACTCGTTGTAGCGGATGATAAAAATGCATCTTTGCGTTGGGCTATCATCAGCATTCCCAGATACTGCATCCTTAAGCACCATACAGAATAAAACAACCTCTTCACACATTCCTCCTGTTTCTCACCCTGAAGTATCTGTGAAGGGCTCTGATGTTGAGAAGAGGGATGCTGGGCAATCTGGATCAGACTTCTCGGAGACTCCTGTCTTTGGATTCCTGCGTCTCTCGCCTGAGTATCTGGGTCCAGATTATTGGGCGAGGGTTGGATTGTAATAGTCTCAGTTTGTCTGTGCTGCTCCCTCCTCACAGCTTCAGTTGCCGTCCTCACCTCCACACTCCCCTGCTCTCTACCTTCTGATTCTTCATCTCGACTGACGAAGCCTTGAGGGTCCCAGTCTATATCGGGGGAGTCCAACAGTGTTTCCAGGGTGTCCGTGTGGATGAAAGAAGTGCGACTTCCCCGAGAGCTGCCCCTGCGTCGGTCCCGGAGGTGTCGCGAGGATCCCACTGCTTCGGGCTCGGCAATGGCGATGTATGAGAAAGTCAGCTCGAAGGAGTTCTGGCGCGGCGTGCCCCAGATGGACGGGGATGAAGCCAGTCCCTCATCATCATCTGGATCTCCATCTCCCTCGTCCTCATCATCAGACCACTCCCTGGCTGTTTGCAGCTCGCACAACTCCGACTCCTCATTTCCGCCTGAATGGAGACAAAATCAATGTGGTCACACCTGTTTATCCAAATGTAGAGGCTGCTGCTAACACTGAATGGTGCGTAGTCATACAAGGAGAGAGATTTTGCTTTAGATAAATAGAATGAAAGCAGCCAGGAAAAAAAGGTGTCACATCTAAAGAGAACGAAACCCTCTTTGATGAGGGCATGAAGATCCCTCCTTTCAAAATGTAGCTGTGATCATCATCTGTGTTTACTCGTGCTAGTGTTTTAGAGGCGAGAGATGTGTTCCTCTGATGTTAAGTTCAAAATAAAGGCTCCAATAAGCAGGAAGCTCTTCGTTTTGTTGGTACTGTGAGATGGAATTTGTGTCACGTGTCTGCTCCGTACCATCGGTGCATGGAGGCGTTGAGTCTGGAGTGGACGCCACAGAGCCATATTCCTCTGGAAGAAAACAGACACAATTTTACATAAATCGACAAGCAAACATACCGTAGCAAAGAAATTGTCAGAAATATGAATGTGTTGTTGCTGCTTTTGCAAGCTCAAAACCCATTTTTTCACCATCTTGCATATCTAGAGTGCATCTCAAAACATTTAACGCAGGTGTACTACCGTTATATGATAAATAACATTAAGGCCCAGACAAACACTGCGGTACCTTGTTTTCAGTAATTTTCTAATGTTATAACAGCAAACTGTGCTTTATGTGATTGAAGAAGTCACAGACAACCGTTCACTCCTCAGACTGTAGCATTCTGTAGATCAGTGATTAGCTGGCAGCAGTGAAGGCCTTCACTACATTAGACAGCCAGCATGACATTAATAAATCAACCGAGGCTGGGCAAAGAATGCAGCATATTCTCTTTGAACATGAATGAACACATACAAATAATCATAAACCACTTAAATGTATTTTTAAAGAATATCAGATGAATATTGTGACAAAAATATAAAATAAAAAGCAGATATGAAAGCACAACAGAGGCTTTTAGGGGAGAAATAACTTGCATTATTTAATTCTTCCTGCCTGCATAGCCTTCTCGCACACAGCCACATAAACATCTGCAAATCAATGGGAGGCCACGGCAACAGAATAGGACACCCTCTGCACTGCATCTATCCATTCAGCCATGTGTTTATTAAAAGCAGGAGAGAGGAATGGAGAGGAGGCAGGGAGAGGAGGGGAGGGGGGCTGAGCTAACACATAAGATGCTTACAGCAGTTAGCAAGAAAAGATGCTCCACTGGAATATATATTTATATAACGATGACATAGGGAGATAAACATACTCAGACCTCCCACACGGAAACAGCAGAACAAAAGCAGACTTACGGCAGTGGGAGAATCCTAAAACCTGGCCCATACTCCATCAAGGCATCGCTGGGCCCATCCAGTCTGGAAGCCCCCCCCCCCTCGTCCTCTGCTGTCGGCACTCACGTCCTGTGGATATACTCTCTCTTTTCCTCCTCCTCCCTCTGTTTCTTGGTCTTCTGTTGAGCAGCTTCCTCGCTCTCCTGCCTCCTGCTGTCACTCAGCAGCCCCGCCCTGCCTGCCTGCCTGCCTCCCTCCACCATCCTCTCTTCGTCTCCTCTTGCATCGTTATGACTGCCGCTGTAGTAATGTGTGCAACAGCAAAGGGGGAGAAGCAAGAGTGTGTCCCTGTGTCTGTCCGAGGCTGCTTTCATCACCCATTCATAGCTTATTTGCTCCTCTCTCCCTGGTCATGTGATTTCATCTCAGCCGCTTATAGGGGCAGGCTGCAAGAGAAGGAGTGACAAGGCATTAATAATGTAAAACATGAGCATATTAAACATAATCAGGTGCATTTGAAGATGGGAAGGACAGGCTAAAGCCCCAGTCAGGTTCCAAGCTAACCAGCATGTAAGGTTTGTCAGCTTTATTATGTTTCATTAATATGTATCATACTCCAATTCCACATATATTAAATATTAGTGTTCACAAACCACATTTAAATTATATCATAAAAGCTGGAGTATAAATAATGTACAGACTCAACGACAGTAAAAGCTTTTTTACAATGGGAAGTGAGGCCTGTGCAATAGTGAGAAGTAGGGGGCAGCAGTGTGTCGCTGTGACTGATGCTGCTACAGACCGTTTGATATCGTGATTAATGGAAAGAGGTTAGAGCAGCAGATGAAAGGGTTGCAGGAAAATGTGTATGTGTGGCATCTTTGCTATGATTTATATGCTATTTCATTTTGGTAAGGCACTAAAGACATTTATAATAAATTCAGCACAAGATGACTAAAGCAATACGATGTGACTTCGACAAATCAGTAGTTGAATTGACGAGCTATAACATGCACTTTTGCTCATATCAATACATTCAGGCGTTTCGCTGCGAAAGCCTCACTCGGTCTGGTAGGACCTGTAGCTTTCTATGGTTAAAGGCAGGGTTGGTCTTCTTCAAAAACATTTTCGATAGTTTGGTTGAAATTCTCATTGTATCATGACAGCAATAAATTAATCAAATTCTCTGAAAAAAAAAGAAAAACAAATCTATCTGTGGCTGTCGCAGGACTGTAATAAGCCTGGCTTTTCAGACACAAGACTTCCCGACCAATGACAGTGATGTGAGATAGACACTACCAATCGGTTATGTTAGGACAATCACAGGGTAATCTGCTTTCCGTTCAAGTATAGGTAAACAAACACCTGTCATCTGAAACACTGCCAGCAGAGACCAACATAAGCTAATAAAAGCTTTTCATAGTCCTTAAAGCTGGATAAGAACAAAGTGTCACACATGGTCCTTAACGCTATTACAACTCAAGCGTTCCTTCATGTAAACCAGGTCAGGAGCTCCAAATACACAGCAGTTAATGAGATTAAGACACATAGCAGTGACAACATGGAATCAGCAAGTCACATACAGGACAGGGTAGGGCTCAAGTAGGTGTGTGTCAACATACAACACAAATATAAAAAGATCGTCATTTAACTTGGCAATGTAACTTTTTATTGTCTTTATTCTATTCTATTCCATTTTGGCATGGTTTTTTAATCGTTTATATTAAGTTGTATTTAAATATGTATTTTTAATATTCCATTGTGTTTACTAATTTTGAAAAATCTTTGATCTACCCCTGATAAAGGTTTAATCCTGGAAAAGCAAAGTTGAGCCCAAAGATATATAAAAGCCCGTGGTGATAGTCCATTTGTCATGGAAAGATGTTCAAATTTCTTATCCACATTGTCTTAAAAGTTGCATTTCAAAGTGTATTCTTGATATTGGGAACACTGGTCAAAATTAAGAATGAACTAAAGTATTAGTGCATATTTCAATTCAATATACCCTGAGTTCTACCATTAAGTCAAAAAGTTCCAAACCTCTGTAACAGAAACCAATGTGTGCTATTGTTCAGTCGGTCTACTGTGATTGTCCTTCACTAAGACCAATTAGAAAAATAAAGTTATTTGAATTGATGAGTTCCATAAAGTCCCCATGCAGACATGCGACTATGGGAACCCTCTGTGCTGTTGTAAAACGTCACGCTCATAGAGTAATCCATATAATACTGTGTGCAGAACCAGGTCACCTGGGCTGCCTTGAAGGCCAGGTGATTACCCAGCAGCAGTACACAGAGAGAGGGAGGGAAATAAGCAGTAGGTGGGGGCAGAGCAGAGGGATAAATCAACAGAAATAGATTGGCCAATAGGAGAGCAGGGCTGATACAGGACGGGTAAACCAGAGAAGGAGGAAAGACAAAAAAAAAATTTGAAACAGAAACAGTGAGAAAGAGAGAGGAAGACACCTGATGGTCCAATTGTCAAATAATAAAAGGACAGAAGACGGATTATCTACCTAAAGGATGGTTTTCAAGTTTTTCCTTTAACAATTATTCTTATTTGAAGTCACTTTTTGTTTACCTGCTTGGGGTGCCACAGCTTAACTGTTGAGCTGGACCTGCTGCGGAAAACTCAGGGCCCGAGGAGGGGCACCGGGAGGAGACGGGCTGCTGCCAAGTCGAGCAGGAAGCTTGAGCACAGGCTCCGCGGAGCGATGAAGACAGCCAGGCGGGCTAGCAATGTGGAGGTGCCCTCCTTCCTCCGCCAGCTGGTCAAAGAGACGGAAAAGATGGTCACCTTCTTTTTTAAAGGGGGCCCCAAGGAAACTGGAAGTGGGGAGGAGGACACTGCTGATGAGGACGACTCAATGCAGAGTCCGTACCTCGATCGTCCCATCCTGGAGAAGCATGTGTCAGAGGGGGGTTCTCAGTCGGGGGTCAACTACGCTGTGGCGAGCATGCAGGGCTGGAGGGCTCAGATGGAGGATGCCCACACCTGCATGCCCCGGCTGAGAGAAGAGCTGACGGACTGGGGATACTTTGCTGTTTTTGATGGACATGCTGGCGCCACAGTGGCACAGTACTGCTCCAGAAACCTGCTGGATTACATCCTAGCAACAGGTAAAGAACAATTAGTGACCAATTGGATGAATCTAATTGTTCAGTTAGTTCAGTTTAGTTATTTGGGAGAGATGCACTTCCAATTTGTTTTGACATCTAGCTCTTGTTCACACACAGTTTAGTCGCTTTGCACCACAGAATCTGCCAAATAAATGTGATGCAACACCACGTAAGGTAGAACCAGTTCGGCATGCGTTTGAACAAAGTCATCTAATAAACTGAAAACAGACCGAATTTGCAAAGAAGACTTCTATGTATTGTACCCAAAATGAAGCACTATACTGAAGAACTAAAACAGTTGCACAAACAAATCCTTCGATGACACTGTTTTAAGCAAACAATTTGATATATTTTAGGAACACAAAGTCCATGAAAGTAGCTGATTGAGCTGTTTAATAAAATGAAATCAAACATGTCACAATGTATATAAAAATCTCATACGATATAATGAGCATCAATTTTCAAGACAAGAATACTGAATATTATGGTATTTTTCTTTACATTATCGAGAAAGATATAGAGGCAGGTTCAGGGATCTAAACAAAACAGAGCTTTGACTTTCATTCAGATGTCAAGTTTCATACTTTTTGCGCCGTGAACTGGTTAGTTATATAAGAGAAAATTAAAAATCATCATTACATGAAAGGCTCTATAGCGCTTGATACTGTTAACTTTGAGGGCCCGGGACACTCAATCTTTAGGCAAGGCTAAAGGAACATTGAAGTTCTGACTTAAAATAGTATTTGACACTTTGTCAGCACCGTTGTGTCGGCCATGTTATTGCACAATAACACAGATGATGTCTTCTCTGCTGTGTGTTGGCCTCTGAACCAACAACACGGCAGTGCTAGCATGGTGTGAATGTATCTTGAAACCAAATGTTTTGCCCTCATTTCCCACAGGTGGGGTCAAAGCAACCGAGGACCCCGAGCAGGTGAAGGAGGGGATCCGTGTAGGCTTCTTGGACATTGATCGCCACATGTACAAACTGGCTCGCCAGGACAACTGGGACCGTAGTGGCTCCACTGCAGCAGCTATCATGATGTCGCCACGCTACATTTACTTTATCAACTGTGGGGACTCCCGCACCCTGCTCTGCCATAACGGCCAGGTCATCTTCTACACAGAGGACCACAAGCCGTTCAACCCCAGGGAAAAAGAGCGCATCCAGAACGCTGGAGGCTCGGTGACCCTCCAGAGAATCAACGGCTCGCTGGCCGTTTCAAGAGCACTGGGGGACTTTGACTTCAAGGAGGTGGACTGGAGGCCGCAGACAGA